GTGTAGAAATTGGGGGCGGATCAATTCGAATTCATTCTCCTTTGTTGCAGAAAATCGTATTGGATGATATCCTAAAGGTATTTGCGGTATAATTCATTCATTTATTTATTTTTAACTTATCACTTTATTTTTTACATAGATGAGTCGAGCTAAAAAATCGGAATTCGAACATTTAATTAATGCACTTGGATATGGATGTCCTCCACATGGTGGTATTGCGTTGGGTAAGTCACAAAGCATAAAAAAGTGCCAGTATCAAAAAATTTGATATATCCTTTATTGATGATAAATAATAGGATTGGATAGAATAATGTCTGTAATATGCAATACTAGCTCTATTCGTGAAGTAATGGCATTCCCGAAAGTCGCTTCAGGAGCAGACTTGAGCGTATCGAGTCCTAGCGAACTTTCGAAAGAAAAAATTAAAGAATACAATATTGACGTTCTGGAAGAGAAGGACAGAGAGATTATTGAAGATGTTACTATCGAAAGAAGCTTGCCAATTATGAACCTGAGAGATGTAATATACACTAAAGTGGAGATGTGTTAATAAAAAATATATATTTACAATTGAATGGTATAAATTTAGTAGAAAAGATAAATAACCTGCCTGTTTATATGTATTATTAAAACAAAATGCTTATTAGTTGAATCACGTGAAGTTTATATAATATATCTGTATATTTAATCCCATAAAGCTTATTACTAGATAAATCGACATCTTTATCAAAAAAAGGCTCTTTGTTATCTTTTTAATTAATATGGACATGTATGATATATAATGTATCAAGGGTTTTAATGGAACTCTATGAAAATCGCATTAATAAATACTGTCTGAAAAAAAAATAAGAGTTAACTAGGCTTTTGTAGTTATGACAAAATATTATTAAAGTCACCGACTCTTATGACATTTTTTTTTTTTTGCAGTACTACGATTAAATTATAAAAAGCAACGATTCAAGACTTGAAAAGTTAAAACTTGATAAGTTAAAATGATGATACAACTAAGTTTCTTTTTACAAATTATTCAATTGATATTTCTTTATTTTTCATAATTCCATATTTCTTTTTGGCTCTTTTCCTCCTCTTTGCAACCTTTTTTCTAGCAATCTCTTTTTTAATAGCCGACTTACTTTGATCCCCGTTATGATAATCATCTAACTTTTCGATCATTATCTTTCTAGCTATCGATCTATTTTGTTGCAATGACCGTGTTTGCTGGCACTTTGATCAAAAAATCAGGTTTTTAACAAAAAAAAAAATTGTATACAAATGTTAGACGATTCAATGTAATTACCACGACTCTAATTCCGGTCGGAACATGTCTCAAATCAACACAATTTGATGTTTTGTTTATTTTTTGTCCACCGTTTCCTGATCCTTTAACGAACGATTCTATTAAATCTTTTTCGTTTAAAACTATCTTAATTCGTTCTTTTGTTAAATCTTTTTTAATTTTATTATCATCATTTATGTTATCAACATTTGGTGAACTATTATCATTTTTTCCTTCATTTACTTCTAAATTATAATTATTAGTCGAAACCATTTTTATAAATGGTGAAATACGAAACCCAAAATCTGTGAAAGACGAAAGGCGTAACCCCTGACGAAATGCGAAATCCCTGGTGTACGCCGAAACCCCTGGTGAAGGACAAGACCCCAGGCGAAAGATGAATCTCTTGAAGAAAGATAGCACCTCAATGTTCTAAAAAAAAGCGAAAGGCGAAGCAAATTAACAAATAAAGCATGTCATTGTTAGATACGATGACGGTTAAGCACAGAAACGTGGTTATATTGAGGAAATACCATCACTATAAAGAAAGCTTGAAAGCTTTTAAATTTCCCTTAATATATATTGATGTAATTAAATTTTGTATCAGATTAAAAATTCAAATATGTCGATATCGATATACAGATTATTTTAATCTGATGTATTACTCGAATAGATTAGTGGGTCCTAGTGTTCCGCAAAATGGATCCGAAGATTCGGATTCGATTCGGATCCGTTCACCGGATCGGAACCGGATCCATAATTTTCAGATTTGTCATTGGGATCCGTTCGGGTAACTATAAACTTTACAGCTATTATCATAATTTCTGGGACATCTGCTTTCATAAATTCTGAAACACCTGATAAAAATCGCCGAATGATTTTTCGGCCGATCCGATTAAGTGATTTCGGCATGTTATATACGTTATATATAGATTACATTGTAATTTGAAATATACATGTTTTCGCAGACTAAACACACTACAGCACTAAACATGTTGGGCAAGTAATATTGAACGTGCCGACATTTATAATGTTAAAATTATCGTAGAAAAGTATCATATGTATATAATGATTAATCAATGTAAAAGTATAATTTGTGTATTATTATTATACCGAAATAATAACTTAACCGGAACGGCCGAAAAATCATTCGGCAGATTTTTTATCAGGCGTTTCAGAATTTATGAAAACAGCTGTATGATAATAGCTGTAATGTTACGAAACATTCCGAACATAAAAGTAAGGCTATCCGAAAGAGTCCGAAATTGAAACGGATCCGATCCGGTCCATGCGGAACACTAGTGGGTTCATAGGCAGAAATTCGTCTGATTGGCTAATGCAAATCAATTGCCCGGGTAACTTATTTATATGTTTTAGAGTACT